CTGACTTCGGGCCCCAGTGCAGCACACAATGGAAGCAGTACTAATCTCTGTAGGGTTTGTTCTGTGTTCTAGAACATGAAATTTTAAAATGTCTTGTTTTGCTTGACCTGGTTTTGTTATTTTGGCAGCTGCATGCAGTTCACAGGCTGAGTGAGTAGTGCTCATGAGCTGAACATGTGGACCTGACCTTTTAAATACAATTATAATGGGCTGGGAAGGTGGCTCAGTGGTAGAGCGCTTGCCTTGCATGCATGAGGCCCTGGCTTCTATTCCTCAGCACCACCTAAGCAGGAAAAAAAAAAAGCCGGAAGTGGCTCAAGTGGTAGAGTGCTAGCCTTGAGCAGAAGAGCTGAAGGACAGCGCCCAGGCCCAGAGTTCAGGCCCCAGACCAGACCTCCCCCAAAAAACAAACCAATTATAGTTGTAAGATTACATCAGAGACTACCACAAGGTTACATCATGGGGAAAATACTCGACATAATTCTAGAGGTTTATTTTAGCAAACTGGAACAAGATTTTGAGAAATAGCAAACATCATTCATGAAGAATGAATTCATTAGGATAAATTAGTCATTAAAATAATTAGAAAGGTGACTTCATTCCAAATAATGTGATTCTAGCTGATGTATTGCTTAGAAAACCTCTGCCATTTAGGGTAGCTGTTTATGCTCACGTCAGTCTGTTGACATTCTCATTTTCTGAAAATGGTTACACTGAGCCTTAGCGACTAAGTTGTATTTTGTTTAACCCAAATGTCTACCTGAAGAATACAATTCTCTCACTTTTGTTTCTTCAAATTGACTCCTGACAATAAGATTTACTTTATGATAACTACTGCTGGGTAAAATTTATTCTTGTCACAGGTCTTACTGCCAGGATTTGTGTTTGAGTTCCTATGAAGACATAAGTGTTGAGGTGATGGGAATATGTGGGTAGGCAAAAAAAAAGAAACAAAATACACTCAAGAGTGAATCTCACCCCTACCTTGTTTGTTTGTTTGTTTTTAATTCTATGGCTAAAGTCTGTCAGAGATATTCCAATTGAGAGTGGACAGACTATCAGTGGGTAAGGGAAACAGTTCACCAAAACAAAAAAGAATGAAAATATTGAGTTTTGTCCCCAGTAAGTGGCCTCAAGCCACAATTTAATTAAAGAAGCAACCTCACAGACTAACTTCCTTCCTGCCAGGTAGGTTTCTTTATGGAATCTACACCTTTAGGTCTGGAGCTAGTTAGCACATTTGTATTCTGTGCTCCATTTCATAGACCAGAAAGAACTAGATTCAGAATTAGTCTATATTCTTTGGGTTTGCTCTTGAAAATATTGAATCTCTCCAAAGAAAACCATGGAAAACTTGCAAAAAACAGAAGTGGTATTTGTGGTTTTAGCCTGAATCCTAGCTACCCAAAAGGCTGAGATCTAAGGATCATGGTTTGAAACCAAACCAGGCAGGAAAGTATGTGAGACTTTTAATCTCCAATAAACTACTCAGAAAAAGCTGGAAATGGCACTGTGGCTCTCGCGGTAGAGTGTTAACCCTGAGTACGGAGAGACTCAGGGACAGCGCCCGAGGGATGGGGCCCAGGTGAACTCAGGTCTTGCTGAGGGTGCTGGGGATTGTCATTAGGCTGAGAATAGAGGTATTAAGACCCAGAGGACATCAAAGACGAATCTGCTGAAAGGTAGAGGGAAAGCTACACGGATATGGCCAGCACCACTCAGAGCCTTAGCTTCTTCCTCAGAGCTAACCACCAGCCACAGCCAGGAGCAGGTCACACACTTGACATGTGTCCATTTAAATAGTGGTCAGATCCTGGGAAATAGTTGCAGGAGGGATTTTTCCCCCTATATTTTGCAAAGTCAGAAGCAGAGAAGAGATGAGAAAAGACTGTCCTAAATTTGGTTGTCTTTGCAACTATTAGAAAAATAATATTCAAAGTCATTTTTGCTGGTGAGGTTCATAAGGATAAGAAACATTTCCTTTATTACCCAGAATTTATTTTCCTGCAGAGATTGGGGGGGGGGTATATTTTCACAATTTTCTCCTCTCTTTGTATCCACAAACCTGCTCTTTGAGCTGCACGGTGTTTTCCAATTTTTTCCCCTTTTGTCAAAATAGGAACAGTGGCATAAAAGCTTCAAGATGACATATTTCATGTTATATTCTCCTTAATTCAAAAAAATAATCTTCCCTGTAGATGCTATAATGGAATATCTGGGCAAGGCGAGGGAGGATAATTGTCATTGTTCCTCTCTGATTTAATCTTACATTGACAATCTTCATATTTTAGCCAAAATGCTCAAATTGTAAAGCTATTAAACTTTATTGCTGGTTCATAATGGATTTGGGCAGCTGCTTTACTGTTTTCGTTCAATAACTAGAGGAAAATAAGGGACATAAATTATTTGTTTTATGTTGAAATTGTTGTTCATATTCAGTCCACAAAAGCAAAGTGTTGTACCTTTCCGTCACATGTATGTCATTAGTTAGAACAGGTTCTTCTCTCTTCCGTTTGCATTTTATTCTTTGTAAGAGCTGTTCTTCTCTGAATTCTGTTTTAAAAGCATCTTCTTGCATGACTTCTCTGATATACCTTAACTTTAGTCTTTCAGAAAAGAATTGATTTTATTTAAATAGAAAATAACCTCTTCTTTTTGTTTCTTGTTTTGTTTTGTCTTGTCAGTCATGGGGCTTGAATTAAGAGCCTGGGCACTGCCCCTAAACTTTTTGGTTCAAGGTTAGCACTCTACCACTTTGAGCCATAGAGCCATTTCTGGCTTTCCAAGTGGTTAATTGGAAATAAGAGTCTCACAGACTTTCTTGCCTGGGCTGGCTTTGAACTGTGATCCTCAGATCTCAGCCTCCTACATAGTAAGGATTACGGGTGTGAGCCACTGTTTCCTGGCTCAAAAACCTCTTCTTAAAGCCCTGCTCCAGAACAAGAGAAAATATAAGGAAAATGTACCAAAAATTGGGTTGAAGCTATGTAATAGGATAAATAAACTCGATTTATTATTCTATTAGAATTCTATCACAAGCACCTTCTCTGACTTATGCTCTTCACTTTCCTTTGCTGATAAACCTGACCTACAATATCTACCCTCATCCCCAACTTTTGTTATCTACCAAATAAGACTATATACGCTTTGCAAATACCACCTGTTATAGCAATGACTTAGCAACATATAGATATCAGGTTCTTAACATGAGAGGAAATATGCCTCCTGTTCTAATTTGTGTGTGAAAGCTCAAAAGTTCATCTCATGGAACTAGAGAACAAGGAAAGAGGGGAAGGATGAAGAAGGGATAGATAGTTAAGGGCACTGGGGTCTAAATCAAGAACTAACAAACTTCTAATGATATGTATTACACTCAAATAGCTGTAGTTGAACACAATTAATTCTCTTTCAAAATAGCCATTAGGGAAAATTTTGAATGATAGCCATCTGAGATGATGGAGATGTCAATTACTAGGACCTGATGATTTTATAAATGTATGGAGATGTCATATTGTACCCATAAATTCACATAATTACTATGTATCAATTAAAAACAAAACTATGGAGAAAAAGGAGTCAGCACATATAGAAATTATAGTCTAAGTATTAGGAACATGAGCATACATTAATGTGTAATCAGCACTCACTGAATAAGGCTACATTGTACTGTTTGTCTCAACATTTCTTTCAATTCCCTTCATTCCCATTGTGTAAGCCTTTTTCAGAGGCTTTCTGCATGCATCCTCACATTGGTTCTGCTCTGATAGTTTCTGCTGGTGTGTCCTTCTTCCATTTACAGGCCCAGAGACAGCAAGAACCACACATAGTATAGCAACATCCTTCTCAGTTTGAGTATTTGGCCATATGCATTCCCATTGTATCCTTCTGTGTGATCAGCATCTATGTAGGCAGATTTCGCAATTATTGAAGATCTTTATGGCAGCAAGATTTTTTGAGGTCATAAGTTTGCCAATTGTATAAATAACAGCATAAATCACATTTGCTTTACCAGCAATTTTGTTTTGACAGTGTGTTTTTATTGATGTGTCTCATAAAATGTTCATAGTAGTGAACAAAATTTTTTCTGTTTTATAATACTGAGGATACCTGAAATGGCCAAGGCATCACAATGTGCTAGGCCTTAACAGAAGTTGCCATTCAATCCTCAGCCCTACAAGGTCTGTGCATAAAGCATGGCTGCAGGGAAGATGTCCTTGAAGTTAGTCATGTAGAACATTCCAGAGCATCATTCCAGAATGATTGCATTAATCCCACTTCTCCTACTCATCATTGCACAACCTTGTTACCCAATTTTCCTGCATCTTAGTTCGCCCATCTGTAAAGTAACTCCTAATGTTATAACAAACAAAACACGTCTTTTCCCTGTGTGACAGTTTAGGTTCTCTGTACCAGATGTCCAAAAATCTGGCCATATATGAGATTACTTTTCAATGAGACAATACTCACTCCCTCAAAATAAAACAATCTGTTGTTTTGCCACCTTACATCTAGGCACTCAGTAAGCATCATGGGATATGAAGATAGACGCACCACATTAATTTTCTGTATTGAAGAATACCTTAGTCTCACTGTGAGAAAGAGATTTTAAGTGTGACTCAGTTTTCAGATTTATTTCATTTCAGTTAAAGATGTGACAGTTATTTCACATACTCAAAGAGTGAAGTCCCATGTGGTGAGCTTACATGACATGCCTTCTTTCTAAATTATATCTCTATCTGCAGTGGATTCCAACATTCATTTCCCTTTTCTCAAGAGTAGATGCACAGATAAAGATAGAACAAAATCATATGATCACTAAGGAAGTTCAAGTACCCTGCCATGAAGTCAAATACAAGAATTAGAGTACATGGGATGTTAATCTCTTTTAAGGAGCTCTTGTTATAGAGAGAATCCGTGAATAAATACGGATAGTTTCTCTGAGACATGTTTTCCTGTTTTGAAGGCCAGCCATAGCTCAGTCTGCTCTCCTCTCCTGACAGGCACCAGCATATTCACCGTCTATGAAGCGGCCTCCCAGGAAGGCTGGGTCTTCCTCATGTATCGCGCCATTGACAGCTTCCCCCGCTGGCGGTCCTACTTCTACTTCATCACTCTGATTTTCTTCCTCGCCTGGCTTGTTAAGGTACTGGAAACCATTGGCCTTCACCAAGTTTAGATCTTGGGCTAGTTCTGCAGGTCTGGTGTCTGTTGATTGTTCTCCTCTGCTTCCTCATTGCCAGTGTTTGCTAAGTGTGGTCTGTCACTCTCTTTCAGAACGTGTTTATTGCTGTCATCATTGAGACCTTTGCAGAAATCAGAGTCCAGTTTCAACAAATGTGGGGATCACGAAGCAGCACGACCTCTACAGCCACTACGCAGGTATGGTCCCAGACAGGGGATGTCACAATCCACTCACACGTGCACAGTTTCCCATTGTTTTCTCCAAGGCAGTTAGCTATGTAGACTATTCCAGAATGTTCTACAACTTGAGGGGGATTCTGATATAAATGGAATGCTGTCAGGGAACTCTTTGAAAACACAGACACCCCAGGTATTCAAACCCAGAACAACTCTGTGATGGCATGAGGTCATCTATAATTTTTCAGCAGCTCTACGGGAGCTTTCACTAGGAACATTTGACTTGATTCTGATACCATGATTCTCAAAGAGGCCTGTAGAGAAAATAGAGCACTATGGAACTTCCTGCTTTTTATACACATTTACTCATATAATTGGAAGCTAGCTTACCTACAGGATTAGGAATTTGAGAATGGAAAACGTATTTCATTCAGTATGAAACAATCACAATACAACAAACTATAGAAAAACAATCATTGACCAGAGGCTCATGCCTGTGATTATTTGAGGAAGTATTCTCATAAGCTCCCAAGAAATTGGAGGTGATATGATTTTGCCAAAAGTAGCCACAGAGTTCCATGCACAGAACTAGATAGCAATTGAGTCTTGGTTCTTACCTTTGGTTTGTGTGCATGTTTGTTTGTTTGGTAATTAGGAACCGCAAGGACAGGCTAATGTATCTTATATATGAATCCTCATGAGAGAAAAGAAAAGTTTCAGGACCAAAGGAAAAAGATGTAAGATCTTCCAACTATTATTTTGATATCCAGTTGGAAATGAAATGGAAGTTTCTACCTGCTTGCATGGCACTAAGGGGACAAAGACTTCTATGGAAGGGTCAAGGTACAAATTTTACTTTGGAAAGCTTTAAGTTGAAACTTTACTGATAATACATTTAGATGCTATTAAAACATATTAAACATAAATATTTAGGAAAGGCCTTAGGATGCTGCAGCATCTTGATGAGTCTGTGGAAGTCTTGAATTGTTCAGCCAATTCATGATGGATTAAATGGTGGTGTCATTCAATTTTTTCAAGCAACATTTCAAACTTCTGGGGAAAAAATAATATCAATGCTCTCTAGGTTCTATAATAGATACCACATGGAGTTACCATCAAGGAATCCAGCCTCTGCTCTCATCTCTTTTAACCAACTGTGAGGGTCCATTCTGGGGTGGCCAGCACTGAGGAGTATATTTTCTGTTACAGACGTAGAGACCTAAGTGGAAGCTAGAATTGTGAACTCAGCATATAACATGCAGTGCTCCTGAGAGATGACCTACAATGTCTTTAAAACCCTATTTTCTTTATTAAGTAACTCTGATGGATAGAATCACAGCTGGAAAGGGAATGTTTGGATGCACACTTCATCAGCCAGCAGTTATAATAGAAAATGAAATGTGAAGAGTTTGAACAAAGTTGTACAAAATTATTTTGAAGCAAAATTGCACTTAATCAGGGAAGCATAAAGTCTGTAATTCAGAGGGAATGTGTCTAGATGTTCAGCAGAGGTAATCACACAGAGAATTGTGAAAAACCTTCATTAAGAAAAATGCTGTGGCTGAGGACCCAGTTGCTAAGCAACTGAAGCTCCTGCTGACAGCCTCCTGGTGAAACACCATTTAGGCAACCTAGCAACAGGCCTCAAGCCCCGCCTACCCCTAATAACCACTTTCAAGCAGTCCCAGATGCTTTTTTTATGTGTATGGAAAGGAGAGATATCATTTGCCATGATTCTGTTACATTTGTAAAGTCTAAACAGACTCTGCGAGCAAGGACTTTGTCATAAGCACTCTGAAGCACGAAACCACAACTTCCTAATTCCCAGGATACTGGGAATGAAATAATGATGGTTATTGTATTGTAAATCACAGTTTCCTAGAAGGAAAGAACATTCTTGCTTTTCTCTGGAAATGTGGACAGTCCACAGTTTGATATGTTTTTTCATCACCAAACGGTTACAGAGGTCCTTTAGATGTCTCTGTAGATTTCCTATGACATTCATGTGTAGAAGAAGCAATTCACTGGGAGGTGGGTCTGACATGAATCATTCAGAGGCAAAAAAAAATTAGTGAGGAGAAATTTATCTTTAAAATATTAAAACAACTGAGTGCCAGAGGCCCAGACTTCTAATCCTAGCCTCTCAGAAGGCCGAGATTTGAGGATTGTGGTTCAAAGCTAGCTCAGGCAGAAAAGCCCATGAGACTCTTCTCTCCAATTAACCCACAAAAAGCTAGAAATGGGACTGTGGCTCAAGTGGTAGAGTGCCAGCTTTGAGCAAAATAGCTCAGGGACAGCACCCAACATAAGTAAATAATATATCAAAGCAACATTTTTCAATTGACTAATCACTCACCAAATGCCTCTGGATCACCTCACAGACATAAATTACAGAAAAAATTAATTATGGAGGCCATAATACCATATGTGACAGCAAAATGGATAGAAAACATGGAACAGGTTTCATCCATAAATTCCTAACTTTTATAAACAAATCAGTGAGATCCTACTGAAGATGTACTGTTTGTATAATGAGAGCAATATCTTCTGGAGCTATTCTGTGTGGTTGAGCACTCTCAGGATAGTGTTCTCTGGATTATTTACCCCTCCTTTACACAGAAGACCTTCAGGGTAGAGCTGAGGGAGGAAAGGAAGCTGCTTTGGAATTCTTCCACCTCTGCCCTTGAATCAGCATTCTGAGAATACGCCTAAAGCACTGTTGTATAGAGAATGTGCAGTGCTCTGTGGAAAGACAGAAAGGCATAGATGAAAAGATGTGTGAGCAAAAATGGAAAAACTTCTCCACCAACAATGAGTAAAAAATGCACAAATTAATGTTCAAAGACAGTACTTTAGGAGAAATTTGTTTATTGTGTTCTAAGACCATTGGCTTCCACATGAATGCACATCACTCAGATATGTAAGAAAGCAACTAATGAGCACAATTTCAAAAAGGGCTGGGGTGATAGTGAGCCCCTTCCAGAAAGAAGAAGTGGTAAGAAAACAGGCATTCACCATAGGTAGGAAGCAGAAATGAGAATTGCATTTAGTTAGATGAGTCCTTAAGTGTATTATACAACAATGAAATCAAATCAGTGTCCACTCTCATCACTAGGTATAAGAACTATGATCTATTTCTTAAATCATGCCTTTGGAAAGAACCCAAGGAGTGTATTATACGAATTTCAAAATAAATTTTAGAGTTTCTTTACATTATTAATGTATGTATGTGTGTGTTTGCTTGTGTGTGTGTTTGGCAGTTGTAAGTGCAATTAAGCATTTAGCAATGTCCCCTGTTCCCAAGATTCATTCTCTTACTGTCTCCCAATACATAAACTAACCATAAGGATATGTCACCTATAGGAAACAAAAGCATTCTTAACTACTTTATATACTAGTGACCCTTTATCAAACTCTAGCAGCTGCAAATGACAAGCTGGAGATAATTCTCAAGGCTGAAATCGCCATGGTTTCCAAATGATTATACTAGGAGAAGGGTGATCATGGAAATCCATTATGAGTAATGGATAATGTCCTTTCCTTCCTCACGTCTTAGAATCCCAAGCATATATTGACAGTGGCACTGAGCAGGGTGTAATGACAGTAAAGCCCATCTTACTTAATTGTCATGATAGTAATATAAAATAGGTGTTATAAGTGTGTCAGCTTTACAGATTAAAAAATGACAAAGACTGGAAAATTACTTTTCTTACTCAACATTAAAACCAGGTTGCCCAGATGCAAACACTTTCTGCTTCACTCACTGTGCACTTCTCTTTTCTTTTAATTTACTCATCCCAAATGCCGCTGCTCTCTCGATGCCTTCTATGAACTTTTCTTTTCCTTAAGAAATTAGTATTTTTGTTGCCCAAAAGGGATAGGGATATTCTCATATGCTGCTATTACTGTGTAAACAGGATCAGATGATCCTCTAGAAAACTGTTTGACAGTATCTATCAAAAAGCCTTCATAGACATACACACTCTTTGGCCAAAGAGATTCCTATTCTAGGAGCTTGTCCTGAGAATTTTGAAAAGTAGTCAAAGACTTATATTTGAGGATTTTTTTCTTTTTTTATTGTGAGAATACTGTACAGAGGAGTTACAATTACATGGGCAAGATAACGAGTACATTTCTTATCAAGCATTGTTGCCTCCTCTTTGTTTCCCCTTCCCATCCCTTCCCATACTCCTCCCCCCCCCCACACCAAAGTTGTAAAGTTCGTTTTTCGACATAACGACTTGTATATCTCATTGTTGCAATGGGTCCGCCTTTTATGAAAACATTTTGTTATGTTTAAAAAATAGTTTGAAAAGAGGAAGAGGAAATTCAGGAGATGGGTGGGGAGATGGAAAAGGATGATGAAAGGAGTAACATTCATCAAGATGCATTATACTTACACACTGACTTGTTGAATGGTAACCCCTCTGTACAACTACTTGAAGGTCATAAAAATTTGAAATTATACTCTTGTTATTGATTGTTAATTATGAAAATGGGATAAATGCAAACCATTACAATAACTGTGTGTGAATGTGTGTGTGCACATGTGCGTGCACGTGTGCACTGGTACTAGAGCTTAAAGGCAGGACCTAGGTACTCTCCTTAGCTTTTTTGCTTCAGGCTTGAACCACAACTCCACTTCTGGCTTTTGCTGGTTAATTGGAGATAAATCTCATGGATTTCTCTGCCTAGATTGGCTTTAGACCGTGATCCTCAGATCTCGGCCTCTTGAGTAGCTAAGATTGTAGGTCTGAGCCACTATATTCCAACTAGGATTGAATTTTTTTTATTGTGAAAGTACCATACAGAGGGGTTACATGGGCAAGGTAATGAGTACATTTCTTATCAAGCATTGTTGCCTCCTCCTTTGTTTCCCCTTCCCATCCCTTCCCATCTCCCTCCCCTACCCCCCCCCCCACTCCCTAACCCCTTCCCCCAGGATTGAATTTTTATTGACATGAGAATCTAGTGACAATATATTACTATAGAAAAAGATCTCAGAGAGGTGTGTGTATGCATATGAGGTATGTGCTTACATAAAATACTTAGAAGGATAAATTGGTAGTGGAGGTTGCCTCTGGAGGGAATAAGTTGTTTTACATCTCATCTAAATGTTTAAGAGAAAACATTTTTAGTGACATAACAGGAAGCAGGGGCTGGGAAGGTGGCTCAGTGGTAGAGCGCTTGCCTTGCATGCCTGAGGCCCTGGGTTCAATTCCTCAGCACCACATAAGCAAAAAGAAAAAAGCTGGAAGTGGCGCTGTGGCTCAAGTGGTAGAGCGCTAGCCTTGAGCTGAAGAGCTGAGGGACAGCGCCCAGGCCCAGAGTTCAGGCCCCACGACCGGACCCAAAAAAAAAAAAAAAAACAGGAAGCAAAGAGTTCCATCATGTAAACAGGAAACTACTGACCTTCTCTTGCTAAGGACAAAATGTGGTCCTAGCTCCTGCAAAGAACAACTGTTCAAAATAAACAGTGTAGGCAAGATATACCTGTGGTCTCTCTCCTGTAAAGTTGAACGAGGTCATTTGAAGTTGGGATGGTGTTCCATGTTGCCAAGGGCCAGCCTCCTTCCACCTCTCTGCCCCACCTTGCCCTTCCTGCCTTCCCAGGGCTGCCCTGTGGACTGAGATGCCTGCTGTAGCTGGAACTTCCCAATGGGGATTACAGACAGCAGAAAGGAGAGGGGTGTGCTTCTATCTCCTAGGCTAGTGTCAAAACAAACTTCCAGGAAAGGATAAGCCTTGCCCCTCTCTCCCCCTTTGAAGGCTTAGAGGCACTATAAGAATTCCCTGACATTGAAAGGCAGTGAGGAGCAGAGGAACACGGCCAGTTCCCATGATGCCTCACTCCAGATTTGAGTGGTTAAGATTCCTGGCTTTGGCCTAGTAGGCTTCTATCTCAAAGATCTGTTTTCTTAACCAATCTAAACGTGTTATAATTGAAGAGATGAAGAGAAATTGAGCGTGCTTGCTCTACCTTTATTTCATACAAAGGAATGACCTTCTAAGAACTATTTGACTGAAAACTAAATTGATTCATTTGATTTTTGTCTGCTGGGGAAAAAATAATATAACGGAAAAAATTAGTCTGCAACTGATCAAAGCAAATAAAAGCCCCAGGATTGCTTTGTGTTGTAATAAGTCAGTACCAACAGATATACACTGTATATCAACAGCTATACCTAACTACTCACTGACAGGATTGGTTTTGTCTTTTGTCCCTAAAAGGAGAATCCCAGAATTCTGACAGGGACTTTGTAAGTCACATTATGCTTGCATTTCCACCCACACCTGTATTCTCAGGATGAGCCCACTGACAAAGGATGTGATTGATTCTACCTCCAAGAATAGCTTTTAAATGCCATGTTAAAGGAAAGCTGCATTCTGGAAAGGAGCAGCATTTATCATGACATTGAGTTTCTTAACATTGTTATTTATAAAACAATAGTAGGGCCTGTGAATGGTGGTTCCTGTCTCTCACTATCTCATGTCATTCTGTAGAAGACATATTTTCCTTCCTGCAAATGATCTGCTACTTCTGGCTAGGAGTTTGAAATTATGAATATAGATCCTGGGTAATGTCCCTCACATAGTCTCACTCAGATTTCCATCAGCAATAACCCATTTCCACATAGGTCAGACATGGGAACATAAATAAAGATAGCAAAGGAACTTTTTGTGTGTACAGAAAAGAGAGCCGAGGTAGGAATAAAACAGTGAGCTTTGTACTTAGTAACTTTAACCCACACACACCTACACACACATGCACACACACACACACACACACACACACACACACCTAACTAGGAAGAAAAATATATTCATGGGACAATACTAATCAGTAGGAAATGCCTTCTACTTATTGATGGATGAGTACTCTTTTATGATAACAGAATATGCAACAGAAGAATCAGATATCCAAAAGAATGGATTTCCCATTGTAGATGGTTGTTGTATCTTGAATTTTATCCCATACATCTTCTAAGCCAAAATAAACTTAGTTATTTCCTTCATAATGTGTGTGTGTGAAATTTCTGTTGAGCATTTATCTGTGGCCTAGTTAAAATGATTGCACCAAGTCAATTAAGCAATATTCCAGCCTCCTTCCCATGGCACATGTACGCTTTGATAATTTTCCTGAGGATATTCTTTTAATTAGCTCAGTGAGAAATCCTTATGTAAAGAAAAACATCCACCACCTATAGTAAAAACATAGACAGACAACCTAACAGTTTAGAATTCTAATTTATTTTTCCTCTCAGATCTACTAAAACATGATCAATATAATGGGGATAAAATACTAAAGAATTTCTCTTGTAAAGCACACTCGAGCATTTGTAGACAAATCCTATGAAAGGCTGAAATTGCCTAGCATAGAGCAAGTGCTCAATAAATGCAAGCTATTCTCGTTGCTCGTATTGTGGTGATGATTCACTCACGTCTTCAGCATTAAAATGAACATAATAGAAATGATTCAGATTCCAATTATAAATCCATAAGAAGACACAAATTTTTGATAGCATAAAAATATAGAAAGCTGGAGACATAGAGTTCTCGGTGTTCCTTATTAAATGTCTCTGACTCATCTCCCTCTTTGTCTTGAAGATGTTTCACGAAGATGCTGCTGGTGGTTGGCAGCTGGTAGCTGTGGATGTCAACAAGCCCCAGGGACGCGCCCCAGCCTGCCTCCAGGTGCAGTACAAAGCCATTTCTAACCATCACCCAGCAAGATCTTTGACTTGTATTTTATGCAGGGAAAGCCACAGCCTCCAAGTTCTAGATTTGCCAGACTTGAGCCTGAGAAATCAGGGATGGGATCTTCCTCCTGCCTGTATTTCCAGGACCTGGCATTCTTTGAGAGGTGCAGCAGAGACTTTTCCAACTTGATCAATGAATGCACACAGGCAGGAGAATTTCAGCAGCCCCGAATTGGTGGTGAGATTTATTGCTATAGTCAATCTTCCTAAAGTATTTTAGGGAAAAGAGACAGGGATCATCATACTCCACTGAGTCTTTAACTGAGTACCTGGAAAGGAAATAGGTGTTAATTCTTATTTCGTTGCACCGTATTTGAAAGCTCCAGAGCAACAGGACTTCAAGGTGCTTCTTCACCAAAGCACAGGAACAAAAGGCACGGGGCAATAGATTACCAGGGAGTCCAGGTTCCCTAGAGTCCTGATGATACTCTCCTCTCAGGGGACTGAAAGATGGGACCTCTGGTCCCAACCAGTGACCTTTCTTGATGCCTCCTCTATTCTAAGCAACTGACAAGGACCCACAAATACTTTTGTCTCTTGCTTGATAGACCACACTGTCATCTTCTCTTTCTTTGTCCTCTCTAGCCTGATCTGAAATTACAGTGATTCATTAAAAGTGACATGATGATTCGATATCTGTACATGCTGTGAAATGCTTACTACCCCCACACCAAATAACAAGCACATCGCTTCACAGAGTACCTTCCTGTGGGTCTGAGGGAGATGGTTGTATGTATAAGAATGTGAGTTCGTGTGTGTGTGTGTGTGTGTGTGTGTGTGTGTGTATTGAAAACACAGTTCTCAGTTCTCTTTTAGCATATTTTAAGGATACAACACAGTTCTAAATTTGGTAACTGTTTTGCATGTCAGATCTTCACTAGTCATCTTGCAACTGAAATTTTGTACTTTCCTGCTATCTCCCAATTTCTTTCCTACCTTGTCCTGCCTTATAGCCCCAGACAACCACCACCTACTTTCTGCTTCTGGATGTTTCTCGTCTTCTATTCTAGATGAAAGCAAGGTCAGAAAGTCTTTGCTTTCTTCTGTATTACCCTTAATGCAAGCTCCTGCAGATTTACCTATACTGTGGCCAGATGGTAGAATTTCCTGTGGCTGAATTTTATTCTATTGTGCATATTGCTGTAATTTTTATCCTTTATAAAATATATATCATATTATTGTAGAGTATAATCACCCTACATGGCTGTAGCACACTACAATGTTTCCTATCTAATGGGATCTTGATGCCCATTATTAAAAACTCTTTAACCAGTGGCCTTCCTAGACTCCACTGGCCACAGGTCCGCTCTCTACCCACTCTTCTCCCACATATGAGCGTGCATGTAGCATTTATCCTTCTGTGCTTGACTTATTTCACTTTAACTGAATGTCCTCCAATTCCATCCACATTCCCACAAATAACAAAATTTCATTCTTTATGTAGTGAGAGACTATTCATCTCCTTTATTCATTCATCCATCAATAGGTGGATTCACTTGCTTCTCATTCTTAGCAATGGTGAATAACCCTGTAGTAAATGTTTACTTCAAGAGCAGGTAACTCCTTGTCACACTGATTTCATTTTCTTTGATTATACATCCTGTGGTATAAAGACTGGATCATACAATAGCTCATTTTCAACCTTTTGTTGACCTTTTGTAGTGTTTTCCATAATGGCTCTTCCCCAAAACTTCATGTTTTAGTTAAGGAGGTCATTTATTGTTGATAAATTTGATATTTAGAGGACCTAGACATTAACACTAGTAAGAGCGTCCCTGCGAAGCAATTTTACATGCTATGTTTTATGTAGCTGAAAGGGATATACTGTAAGTTTCATTCCACTCCATTTCATAGCTGCTCCTAATTCAAACTTGTCCAAAGGAGCCAAACTGCATGAGAGACAATGAATGAAATGTAAGATGACCAAGGGACCATCTTTTCGCCAATGGACAGAAAGTGTGACCGGAGAGAGATTGTTTCATGTCTGAGCAAAAACATTAATGATGAACACTCAAGCAAAATAATTAAGCAAACAACATACTTGAGATTAAACAGCCACCAACTATGTGCTGGCATTTACTAATGATCAACACCACTTCAAACTAGGTTTGATTTGGAGCACGCTCACACCATCACAAACTATAACAACACGTCATCTCAAGGACACACAGGAAAACTTTTTTATTTTTAAATAAAGCAAAGCATGACTAATTCTCATTAAAAGTTAAAAGTAAACAACATATCTTCTTCTCCTCCTCTCCTTGGTGGTCAGTGATGAGTCGATTTTGCCCCAATTTCAGTATTTGGTCCCACACTTGTCTCTTGACATGTACAAAGAATTTTCTCTTACTCATTCTGATCTCATTCTGTAGATCAGAGATCTCAGATCCATGTCTTCAACATCCAATATTTCCCTTTCACATTGTATTTTAATAAACCAATGATTGAATTATTGCATGTTTGTTTCTCTACTCAGGGAACACTCCAGGACAGCAAAGACCACACCCACCAGGGGGCACTGGTAATGCTCTGTCCTGAGTGTAGGCTACTCCACACTTGGCAGATACCAGACAAAGGGATGTGGCATTTTTTACCTTGTGTGTGTTTGTTTGACTTTGCTGAAAAGTAGTACTATTTGTCTTCTTGGTCTTGCCTCCGGAGACCAAAGATTGAATGTATATATATCCATAACTACCATTCTAATAAAAAGCATTTACTTCTCTGTTCAAATTACTGAAGATTTATAATAGTGCATCTAGAATATATTTCTAGAAAGTACTTCTGAAGGGTCCTATGGCTTTGGATAACTTTGGGAAGTCTTGCTAGAACATCTCTCCTAAAACAGGTTGACAGGGTCTTGACAGGACATTGATTTCTCTTTAAGAATTCTATTATGTGATGTGATATATGTGATATAAGTATGTCTATGGTTGGAAATACGGTGTTAGGAAAACCCTAAAGAATTCCATCTTAACAGGAAGGTAGAGTGTATTAGAATGAAATGTTTGAACAGCTGAAATAAAATTGAGTTTGCAATTTTACAGTTGTTGAAATGAATTGGGAAAGTGAGTAATCAACAATTGCTGAGAGACAATAGAGTCCTTATTTAAATATCAGGACTGCTGCTTTTGCCCTTGGAGTGAAACTTTTTAAAAGATGGTTGATCCAAAGTTTCATAGAGTAATTCACATGAAAGTTCAAATGTCCCGATATTCTTGGAAAACACAGAGATCTAGCAACACCAGGTACCATTTTCACCTGGCTGTCATGGCTAGCATGGTGTGGTACCTGCCGCAATAACCTTAGCATAGACTTTCAATTTGCCAGTTTCTATACTCTGTGTTTTCTCTGCAGACTGGAACTAACTGCTTTATTTATCATGGCCTCACACATATCTTTCACAGAGTATAACTCTATGGTGAGGAGAAAAAATAATGAATTCCTATATCTGTAAAGGTTAACTCCTACATTCTATGCTATGGACACAGTGAAGATTGGCCCTATGACTAGTGTTGTAGAAGCCAGAGCTGTTTCATGTGTTTACTGCGTTGCTCTGGGCTACCTGTTCTCACTTGTTATTGTATGTTCAGTTCCCAGAGGCATTTGACCCATGATATAAGTTATAATAATGTGACATTAGATCATACCAGAGATATAATAATTAATATGTAGAGTCAACTTTTTTTAAATAATGGTTTTAATATGCCTTACAAAATGAGACTAAGAAAATGACATTAGTAAAGATAAATTCCATTAAAAATTGTGTTTTCAAGTTGGCAATAGGAGAAAGAAATAAGAAGTTCAATACTGATATTTTTAGGCTTCGATCAATTATGCTGCCATTGAATTTTTTGGCAGTTTTGAGTTATTTATTTGTTCGAATATTTTTATTATCTTTAAGTAGTTGTGCAAAGGAGTTGCCATTCTACAAATCAGTCTGTGAATACAGTGAATCTTGACCAAAAATTTATTGCAACATATTCCTTCCATATACTTTGACTTTAAAATTCCAAAATTTTACATTTATAACTCAGCATAAATGGAAACGGTCCAAGGCTCCTAGAAATAAAGGATATTAAAAGGTAATGTTTCTCCCCTTTCTGCTAATTGTTTTGGTTTCTCTAACTCTCTTAATTAATACTAGCATATTTCATCACTTTCTTTTCAACTACCTCTGCCCACATGTAGGACATATAGTTTCTTGGCCTAAACATTTGTCTTGCCCACCAACTATAAGTAGTTAGGTAGTTTCATAAAATAGGATTCGTTGATGTGACTTAAATTATCTCCACCCATATTAACTACCAAAAAAGTTGTAATTGACAGTTCTGTGATAGAGTGTTTTATGTGTAGTAGTTCTCATTTTTTCTTTCTTTCATAAATTAATAAACCCATTTAAAATGTATATTTCAATGAACAGGTTTCTCCTTTCCTGCTTAATCTCCATTCACATTCTACCTTATATCAGATGCTTCAGCTATTATAAGATGTCTGCTCCTTCTTATGTACATCAGTTGTGGAGATACTTAAATGAATTATGCGATTTAACTCCTCCACACAATAATGAGCTCTACAGAGCCATTTGTGGAGGAACAAATAGGCAGCCATGGCCTGTAATTTGATGCTATGCAAATATCTTCTGTGTTCTGAGAGACAAACTATAATTATAATCACAGCCACAATCCATATGCTCATTTATTTAATTGCAAAATCCAAAGTTCAGACCCAAAGGATGAGTACAACAGTATTGTTGGTCTGGTCAGGTATGTGTGCAAGCTTTGTAGTGACACTTGTTGAATTTTTAAATCAACTTAATATTCACTATGTTAATTTTACTAGAGCATGGCTCATACTTATTGAGTTATTAATGAGATGCATCCTATGTTTCCTAAGATTACTTAATGTGATACTTAGTCATGGTAAATATACATATTG